GGCACAGGACCACTTTCTTCTTGCCAACACGACGTGATATTTTTAAGCATTGATTTGTCACGGACGAGTAAGTCAAATCAACAGAAAATGCGACATAACTAAACTGAGTGAAACAGTACTTACACCTTGAATTGGGTGTATGTTCCATTCAAGATGCTGGAGCTAAAATTTAAAGTTACGGTTCAGTTGAACCCAAGGAGAGTAAGCGTCAAAGTATGATTTTCAGGTCTTAGTCTTAAAAAAGGTGACTGAACAGTAACTCTGAGCTCGTTAAAAATGATTTTTTTGTTTGTCTACATAATATGAACGATTGCGGTTCTGGCTTTTATAATAATAATAATAACAATTCCCTCGAAAATTTTAATTTAGATATTGTTTCGTAATAAAGTGTTTGCTACAGCTGGCTTTATGACCAATATCTACGCGTTTTATTGTCTGTAACGCTTAGCTATTTGAAGCGACTTTGTCTCATAAGGGTCAAGGTTCAAAGTCACTGGTGGCTTATCAAAAACCTTCGTTAAGGGCCCCACTCTCCCCTCCCTCACCCCATTTCGACCGACTATTTGAAAAAATACGGATAGGGAGAGGTTGTTCTGCTTTTGTTTAAATGAATGAAAAAAATATTTCCGGTGACCTGATCAGATTCAGTGACAGCTAGTAGATGAATGTTTGATATCTATTATACCATCTGTACGTATTCCGACGAATATTCGGTGTTTTTGTGACTCGAATAGATCGCTGGCGGCGGTATTGACTTCTTATCCTTTTCATTTCTACCAGCAAAATACATTGGAACAGATCGGAACGCCACTTTGGAGATTCCAAAGTCAGTGCCAGAGACTTTTTTCGTGTCATCTTGACTTTGTTTACGTTTGCCGTGGGAAGAAAAAAATTGCATCGGTGGAAAAAACCGGTCTGGACCGAGGAATTCTCTATAAATTATAGTCTCGACGAGTTAAATGATGTTCGAAAGTTAGCTGTACAAAATCTGTATGTTTGTCTTTATCGAGCTTTTATGAATGCTATTTACGCCGTAATGTGGAATTTAAATGTAAAGAACAGCATAGTAGGTTAATCTCGAATAGAGAGGTCGCTTCAATATTCGGCGCTTTCTCTTAGTTCTTCACTCTTGGCTTGAGCTAAGGCGCTTAGCATCTGCAGAGATTGTAAACAAAAGAGCTTCATTAGAACAATAGGACAACACAAGCGATTCCATTGGTTGCAAAATGACAGCTGTCAATAAAAATGAGCCAATATCCGGCGCGAGTTCGAGTCATGTGCACCCAGGCAGAAAGCATCTATTGTTTTGATGATTGACAGCCGGCAAAGCGAAAAGGTCGAGCGCCGCTGGGCAGGATGCAAATTTCATAATTTGGCGTAGTTTGAGTAACTTGAAAGATAATGCAGAATTGTAAAATTTGTCTTGAATCGAATTGAATCGTTTTTACGAGGATGCGATCATCATGGGACAATCTAATATTTCAGTTTTAAAATATTGCCATTATAACTCGAATGCGTGGCCAGTCTGGAGTTTGTAAGAAGTCGTACAATAACAGCAACGGGGTTCGTTTCATCAAAAGCGAATTTTTCTATAATTCTACGCTTTGCAAGTGGATCTCCTTCGCTAAAGAACTTATCTTAAAGGAAGGAAACGGTAAACAGCGAGGGATTGAGGTCTTGTCGTTTTGCCAACAGAGGGCGAACATGGATTTTTTCTCTTCACTTTCGTAGGTGAATTTCTGAACTTTATAGAGAATCATCTGTCCGCGTGTTGTCGAATCAATGGAGGTTGAAGGCTCTCCCTCGAAATTCACAAAGGCGAAGACAACGCCAGTAATAAAGTCTGTAAGCTCTTTGAACGAAGAGCTGATATCTCGGAGAGGAGGTGAAAGTATGCCCGTAACGAGCGCGCATTCAAGGTAGGAAAATTTGCAAAGGAATGCTTTGTTAATTTAAAAACATAACGATGATTTGGTGTGTTATATATTCCCGAAAAGCCTACGTCTCTTGTTAAACTTTGTAATGATGAGAAAACAATGTCCAAAAATTTATAGAATTCTCAATGTTAGGTATGTCTGGGTAATGCTATACATCGCGGTTAAAAGACTCTAGATATGAATTTCTCCGTTTGAGATATCTAAGTTTTTCTCGACGTACTTACTGCGGAGATTACTCTGAAAGAAATTCGAATCTGTGGAAGAAGAGGCTGCAATGTTTTGAACTTATAGTGCTTAAGAGGTCCAAAAGCGAAGGACGCTTTGCAGTGAACGAGGAAGCGAAGGTCATTTTACATTTACCATAAAAAAATACATGGAAAAGAGATTTTGAAATCCCTTCAGCTAACCCGACACATGGTCGTATGCCACAGTTGTAGTTTTTTTTTAAATTCGGTCGGCAGTACGTTTTGTTTTTACAACAACTGTTTCGAAACGTAAATTGCAATGCGTCTTACCAAGGGATTGTGCAAAGGCAATTTTAAGTCTGTTTGTTATCCCATAATATCAAAGGGGATCTTGCAGAAGTTGTCACCTGACCAACATTATTATTTACCCAGTCAATATTGCTTGACAGGGGAGGGGTATATGCGTTGAGACGCTCAGTATAATCAAATGAATATTTCCATTTTCGTTTACGATCGTATTATTCTCGGGCAAATCTGCCAGCATTCAAACGACTTTCGGTCGATATATGGTCGGATACAACTACTTACGTCATCGATCTTAGATTATCGCCCGATTTTTCAGGCAGGCAGTAACAAAGGTGTCTTACGTCAGTGTCATGCGGATGAAATATCATTCCTGTTTATTGACACGTGATTCTAGAAGAAATTTTCGAATGGGTTACATCGATGAATGAACTCTGTGTCGCGGCCCTTCAAGTTACTGTCCGATATCTTAAAACAACGAAATCTGGTTGTTTAGGATATTGGAAGGATACGAATTGCTCAAATTGAGGACAATTTTAGAACTAAGTCTGACTATTTTTATGGACAATGCGCAAGCCTATCAGGCGTGAAAAGTTCTCTGATGTTTGTGCTGAAACATGGTAGAGAGCAAGAACATGTTCAAAACGGCATAGTCCTCTGTTTCTTAAACGGATCGCTCCAACACAGAACAAAGGGCAGCCTTTCCGGCGTCGGCTCGACGATATAAAGTAACGACGCGAGGTAATTAATTAGAATAAAAACGAAAACAAAATCTAAATTCGGCGACGAGTAGAGGAGAATCATTGAGCTATTATTATATGTTGGAAATAACTGACGTCTTGTATAAAATCCGTGGAAGGATTTGAGAAAGGATAGTTTGTAAAAAACTCCATGAAAAATTTTTCTTTGCTACGAGACTGGCCATGATAATGTGCAATGTGAAATTCTACGTAAGATGTATACAACTGATATTTTCACGACATTAGTAGAAATCTTCAAAACTGATATTTACGATGTAGAGGGAATTAGCATAAAAGTGCGAGAGCAGTTTCATTAATACTTAACTAAACACACAGATTACGATAAAGAATAGTGGTATCTACTAGACAAACATTATTCTCAACGAAAGCCCTGCTATAACGAATGGATTTTTTATGTCCCACCGTCTCCCCATTTGCCCAGAGAGCTCTGTTCTGAAATTTAATCGTATCTAGGACTAGATATCAGCTTTATCGCACAGATTTTCTGAACGTTAATTTATATGATTGTTGCTCTCGACGAAGTATTGTTTTAAAAGTTTTGTGGCGATCTGAACACTAACATCTGCCACGCTTCCGCTTGCTTTACACTGATCTAGACATGTACTCAAGCTGAGTTTCTTAACAGTTCGTCATTCGCTGCCGTTGAGAACGAAGCAATTGGAGAACTAAGAATTAAAGTGGAACATGATGCTTCGTTAGGTACACTGGAACCTCGATTTAACGATTCTCTATATAAGGAAGTCCTCGGTATAACGAACGATACTTCAGTTTCAGCCCTGCTAAAGTTACAGTAAACTGTATGCCGCAGAACCTCGATATAACGAACCAATTTACCCAGTCCTTTGGCACTTCGTTAAATCGAGGTTCCATTGTAATGTAAAGCCAGTCCGCCTCTTTGCCCAGAGAGGACTATTCGGGTACAAAACGAAATGGCGCGATCCGCTAACAAGTAAACCCAATAATTAAAAGCTAATTAGCTTAACTAGGGAACAAACCGTTCCGTTCACGCCCTTCAAAGGTTACCCTTGCAGCAAGTTTACGAGAGTCTCGATGCGGTTAACCGTTAGCTGCAAAACTGTGAAACGGCCTAAAATTGACGGAGTGTAACCGTTAGACGCAAAAAAGCTTAGATGACAATGGAGAGAGATTAACCGTGAGCCGCAAATTGCCAAAATTGTAACCATTAGCCGTAAAAGCTACCACACCACTGAGACCCTCTTACAATGCGGTTCATGTAAGTTTCTCTGGTAAAACAAAACAAAAAAAAAACAAATAAAATAAAACGGTCATCCGAATAGGCCACTTTTTCGCTTATCCCCCCCTCCTCCCCTCCGTTCGAAAGCGACTTCCCCTTTTTCGTTACCCCCGAACTCGGCAGTCAAAGGTCCCGTCCTGAAAGTGCGACCAAAGCTTTCGGTCAACATGGGAAAACCGGTTTTCAGTAGTTACACTACCAAAGAAGAAATATGTTGTTTGTGAATGTACGAAAATCATGTATATGGACTACGGTCGAAGAAATGAATGAGAGTGATCTTCGCAGTAACGAACAGCAATGAAAATAAGCTTCCCCCCCCAACGAAAAAAAAAGAAATAAAAAGATAAGGCCTGAATGGGATTTGAACCCATGACCGCAGCGATTCCGGTGCGCTGCTCGAACCACGCCTGGTTCTAATTGATCGTTCTCTCACAGTCCACAGGGAGTGGTTACCAAAGCAAAGAGTGGTGGTGAAGTGTCGATCAGTAGTCGGTCTCGTTCATCAACAGCAAGGAGTGTTGTTCGTCCTCCACTTATTGATGAAAGTCTCATCGCGGATGATAATGAAGGACTTCCCTTGATCTCTGCTGTGTATTCATTAGCAGCGAATAGTATTCAAGATGGCAGCGAGGCGTCCGGTATCCAGGGAATATCAGTGAAAGGATCAAAATTAGATTCATCACAACAGAGCTCATCGCAGATTACTAAGACACAGAGGGTCGTGTCTCCAACGCCAAGTTCTCCCCACAGTAACCGTGTCAGTGCTGATGCCACTGAAGTAAAAGAAGCGTCAAAATTCAAGACAATAAGCGAGTCCTTGGAATTGAACGAAAGAAAAACAAGTCCACGTCCTCAGGATGATGGTGAAAGAATACATCCTACAGTAGCCAATTCTGTAACTAAAACTCATTCATCGGCAAACGTTATGCAACTTGTAAAGTTAGTTGACAGTGTCCATAAGCAAATGGCTCCTACGGGTCAATCGTTGACTTCTGCATCTGTGAATGGCCAGTCATCGGCATCAGTGCCACCGACCAGTTTAGCGAGCTCTTCTCTGGTTAAACCGGTAACGCAGCCAAGGCAGATTGCGATGAAACCACAGGGAACATCAACTTCTATAGTGTTGAACCTTAAACCAGGTGAAGCGTTACCCAAGGCAATAAACGTCCTGGGTCCAGACGGGAAAACGGTTGTCGTGCTGTCGTTAACCGGCGATGGGGGAAAACCTCTATCGCCACAAGTCTCGCAAACTGGCGGAAGGATTGTAATTCCACTACCGGCAACTGTATCACAGAAACAGGGTACGGTGGTGAACAAGGTTGTCAGTGCATCTAGCGGAAAAGTCCCAATTGCACCTCATCCTGGAAGAGTTACTGTTTTGTCGCCTACTTCGCTAACCTCTTCACCGTTGCTTACATCGGCCTTGGACTCTTCACTGTTACAAAAAGCACCTATCACTCGCACTGAAAATGGTGCAACAAGGACGTCTCCCTCCGTAGTCATTTCAAATGCGTCTGAAACGCGGCCGCCTGTCATAGTTGAGAGTCAAAATCCAGAAAGTGTATCGCAAGGGAACTGCGAAGGATCACCTGCAGTAAACGAGTCCTACTCAACAACGGTGGCATCGCCTGAGGCAACGCCGTCTGCGTCGACGGAGGAAAAGCAAGGTGGGCTCAGTCCACACGAAGCAAGAATTCAAAGACTTAAAGAACTCATTAAAGCGCAAGAGGAAGCTGTTAATAAACTTCGAGAGAAAAGGCGTTTGGAAATTGAAAGAATCAGGAGCGATTCAACTTCATCACCAGAAAACGAGGAGGATGCGTTTAAACCTGAAAGACCACCTTTAGTGGAACAAAAAACTTCGTCAAGCCCTTTCGCTGTACCACTTCCACCTAAGAAAAGATTCAGGGAACAAGATAGCGGTGTAAAGGCCAAACTGCCGAAGTCAGCGGAATCTTCGGTGATATCGAATGAAGGAGCGTTTATTCCGAACGGCGATGATAAATCTTTCGTACAATTAGTTGGGCTGGAAAACGTTGTTAATAACATCAAATAGTAAAATATTTTTGCCGCCGTGATCGGCCAACCTCGTTCTACTTATCAACCCGTTCCTGGTGAAACATCTAGTTAAATAATAGGAATAAGCAAAAATAACCTTCAGATGAACACTGCTTGGCAGACTCCATCCACTACTCTCTGCATTAACTTTGGGTTTATTGAAATTTTTCTAGGGAGTTAAAAAATTAATAACTTGTTTAATCGCCTTGAACTTTATTTCAAGGTTTTTACAGCTCAAAGTTGCGTTTCACTTTCCCGTAATAAACTTGCAAAACTCAATAGCTTTAAAAAAAAAAATTCTTAAGGTAACCCTGCTTTCACCGCGCACTTAAGGTTTACCTTGCGCGAGTTTTAATTTATGACTTATTTTTTCACGCTGTTAGACTTACACTAAAAGTTTTGCCATGCATAATATTAAACTCATCGATTCAAAATTTCTGTTGTATTGAGTAGAAAAGCGCTAGATTAATAGGGTAAGCTAAATGGGCGTGTAAGCTTTAGGTGCATTTAAAGGACATATTTAAAGAGCGATCAATTTTTAATTAAAATTATTACTTGTTTTCAAATAAGTTGCGTTTACCTTCCTTTGTTACATCCATCAGTAGTCAGAGTTTTCATTGGTAGTTCTTGAGAAACCTGTGTGCAATAACTTTTCCCCCATCCTAATAAGCCCTTACTTTGGAGGCCCGATATCAAATATTCTCCCCTGTCACCCTTTTGCCTCTTTGAAATTACTTTTATACTGATTAATATATGCTGTTGCTGTGGGTTTGTAGGTATATTTGTGACATACGCAGATTTTATTCAGATATGTCAAAAAATCGTTAACGGGGACACTATAGGTTGTCAACAGGATTATATGTACGTCATACTCCACCCACTCACCCCCCAAGTCTCTAGCCATTACCTTGGCAAAACCTTATTTGCCTTGAGGGACTTAATTTCGGCTAAAATCTCGAGGAACACTTAAGCCCCAAGCTCAATATCAACTTGTGACAGGCGTCATGATGGCAGCCATGAATTTTGCTCTCCGCAATTTGCGTCTAATTCTGCTGCGGTGTTCCGGTTTTTTAAGTTTATTTCACCATGTCGGTATTACTAAGGAACGTGCTTTACAGCCAGTCTTCTGTTGGATACCGAGGTTTAACTTCCAGTCTCTAAANCAGAGATTTTCCGAGTTACAACCCAAGTCGACCGATCGTTAGCTGGAACAAACGCGGCTTGGTGTGCCTCTTCCTGCCTTCCTCTGATCTAACTATCTGTGATGACGTTGAAAGAAATCCTGGTCCTTGTTGTTCTTCGTTAAATAATACGGCCCATTTTACTACAAGCTCCTATAATGTTCCTGGACTGGACCTGAGACATCTGAAGTATTATTAAGCTTCGTGCACATCTTACGAGAGGAACCGGCTGCTGTCTCTTCGTCATTGGAGTAAGCACTAATGTTTGCCTGCATTTCTGAGGAAGTTAAATGCTATGAATCTTTTTAGATACCGGGGGAAGCGTGCTGGAAGGTCGAAGAAACAAAAATCAACGGGAGATGGTCTTAGGATTCCTGTGATTTTTTCTAGTCGTCGCCATTACCATGTTTCATTAAATATCAAAAATGCCACATGAACGTTACAAATCTGTGGATCAGATCCTTTCGGTGTCAATATGAACAACTTAATTTGCAGTCTAAGTTATCGACCGTTGTACCTTTGGATTTTTGCTTTTGAATTCTCGATCTATTTGTAACAAGGCTCGGCTGACAAATGATTTAATAGATGATCACAATGTCGACCTCTTTGCCCTGTCCGAGACGTGGTTTTGTGGTGATGACTCGGATTTATATTATATCCGTGACATTTGTCCAGACGGATATGTTATCCACCATGTTCCTCGATTCCGTACTACTAGTGGCGGGGCTGGCATTGTTCTCAAGAATAATATCAAGGCCAAAATTCAAGCACATGAGTCCAATTGCTCTTTCGAACATCTTGAGCTGAAACTCAGAGCTACAAAGTGTTTTGTCCATTTAATTGTCTTGTACTGTCCTCCTTCATCCGATGTGTCACTGTTTTTTTGATGAGTTTGCCGGCTATCTTGCCCATATTGTAACAGCATCAGGCCACTTGCTGATTGTTGGTGACTTCAACTTTCATGTTGATTCTCAAAATAGTGCTGGTCAGCGATTTAATGGCCTTCTTCATTCATTTAACCTTCGCCAGCATGTAAATGATTCTACACATAAGAATGGCCGTACCCTTGACCTCGTTATCACAAGAGAGGAACAATCTTTCATTAAGAATCTCTCAGTCTTTGATCCTGCACTTTCTGATCATTTTATGATCCAGTGTAATCTAGATTTTTGTAAACCTCTTGTTCAAGATCAAATGTTATCTTTTCGACGTTTACGTGCCACTGACATGGATAAGTCAGTCTCCTCTGACCTGGAAGACTCCGCGCTAAATAGATCACCTCTAAATGATGACCATCCATTAGCTATTGATCAGTTAAACTCCACTCTTCAATCTATAATGGACAATCATGCCCCAATCATTCGTAGGTCTGTTACTCTTCGCCCTTATGCGCCATGGTTTACGGATGAAATTAAAGTTGCAAAGAGAAAGAGAAGAAAACTGGAAAGAGGGTGGCACGCGCATAACACCGAAGCTAATCATCTATTATACACCGAACATTGTCGCGAGGTGAATGACTGGATTCGTTGTGCAAAAGAGAAACACTTTTCATCTATAATTGAAAGCAACCAAGGAGACCAGAAAATATTATTTCAAGCAGTTAATAATTTGTTATACAGGAAACCGAAAGTAGGCTATCCTTCTGTGGGTTCTCAAATGGCTATAGCTGAAAAGTTCAAATCATTCTTTATTAACAATGATACGACGTATACGCGATAGCTTACCTGTTCACAGTTCTGGATTTCCGAATTTCCCTCACTTTGGATAGTCTGTGACTCAATCCCGGCCCTGTGAATTTGGGGCTTTTCAACGTGTTTCTACCGACCTTATAGCCAACTTCATTAAATCCTCCAGAGTGAAAGCTTGTGCTCTCGATCCACTACCAGCTTCTGTGCTAACTAAATGTTTACCAAGGTTGCTGCCAGTGATAACTGATATTGTAATTAAATCGTTCCTTAGACGAGGCTCTTATACCAAACTCACTCGAAACTGCCTTGATTATTCCATTGTTAAAGAAGACTAAATTAGATACTGAAGATTTTAAGAATTTTCGTTCTTTTTCTAACCTTCCGTTCGTCTCTAAATTGATTGACAAATCAGTTGCGTTACAACTTGTGCAGTATGTTGATGACAACAACCTTGATGAGAAATTAAAATCTGCTTACAAGAAATTGCATAGCACTGAGACTGCCCTTCTGAGAGTTCATGACGACATCTTACGTACTGTGGATCGTGGTTGTACTGTTGTTTTATTACTGCTCGATCTATCTGCGGCATTTGACACCGTCGACCAAGGTACATTACTTCACAGACTTAATACTCGGTTTGGTATCAAAGGCAAGGTTCTTGCTTGGTTTAAGTCTTATCTCACTGACCGAAGTCAATTTGTTGGCATAAACGGATCAAACTCCTCTCACTCTGATCTGATGTTTGGAGTTCCCCAGGGATCTGTTCTAGGTCCGATTTTGTATTTACTGTATACGTCTCCTCTCGGCGACATTATAAGAAGACATGATATGAACTTCCATTTTTACGCGGATGACTGTCAAGTTTTTTTTTCACTTGACTCGGTTTCATCAGTTACTACTATGAGAATCGAAGACTGTCTACAAGATATTGGAACTTGGATGTCACTGAACAAACTAAAACTTAACTGCGATAAGACTGAGCTTTTGGTCATCGGATCGGGCAATCTGTCTGCTTCTTAGCTTCCTTTTTTTATAGCGATTGATGGATCTGTTATACAGCCTTCGAACTATGCCAGGAACATTAGAGTGATCTTTGACAATAAGTTAAATAGGGAATGTCAAGTTTCGGCTATATGAAAATCTGCATTTTTTCACATCCCGAATATTTCTCGGATTAAAACGTTTTTGTCAGTTAGTAGTACTAAAGCGTCAGTACACGCCTTCGTTACATGCAGATTAGACAACTGTAATTCTCTGTTATATGGTCCTCCGAAACATTTAGTTCATAGATTACAATTAGCCCAGAACTGTGTGGCGCGGCTGATCTTATGTGGTCGCAAGCATGATCGCGTTACTCCTTTACTGAGGGAACTGCACTGGCTCCCCGTGGAGCAAAGGATTATTTTAAAATCTTATTTTTTACTTTTAAAGCTTTAAATAATTTTTGCCCTAGTTATATCAGTGACTTGTTAGAAACTTTTAAGCCTACTAGGTCTTCGCGATCATCGAGAAGGAACTTGTTAGTGATTCCCCGCTCCAAGTTGAAATCTTATGGCGATCGCGCCTTTTCTGTCTCTGCACCTAAGCTGGGGAATGACATTCCTGAAACCATAAAATGTAGTATAGATCTTAACACTTTTAAGCATATGCTTAAAACTTATCTTTTAAAGCGTTATTTTAATGAATGATTATGTTTGATTATTATTTTACTTTTTACCTTGATTGTGAAGCGCCTTAGAGCTTTTGGATAGGGCGCCATATAAATTGTCATTTATTTATATTATTTTAGTTAATATTGGATACAAAACTATTTTTTTAAATTCAGGAGTAAATAAACGGCAACCACTTAAAGAATTGCTACGCTGATTCTGGCGGTTAAAGGGATTACTCGGCTTTAATTAGGTATTAACAAAATCTGCGTTGGAAAACGTGAGGACCTATAATGCATGTTTCACAACACTAAATTATACTTCTAGCCCCGTTTGACGGAAAGTTGGATAACGCTGTCCACTAGATAAATCTTTATTTGGTGGATATCGCAATGCGTTTTGCTATCCCATATCTGCTGAAGGCGATTTCTACGTTGAAAATCGCTATCTGCCCTTTATGCACTAATGGCACTGCAAGACACCGGCTTATAAACTACTCTATTACATCTTCGGTATTAAGAACTTTTCTCCGGCGCTCGTCAGGAACTGTGAAACAGTTAATCTTGAGTACAGGAGGAACTTGGGGTCAAAAATATCTGAAAATACGAGATAAGAAAAGTTTCCGTTATTCCATGGCACTAACAGTCATTGGTAACATAACCCCTCTCAAATACTAGGGGCTTTTTTAAAGTAATCCCGGATGAAAGTCACCGTATTCCCTTTTTTTTTCGCCTCTTTAAAATTCTCAAGCCTTCTTCAATAGATTCTTGTCTGATAAGCGCGGATATTTAGCGAGTTTAGTAATATATTTCCGAGTTACGTGCGGGCGTGGAAAAATACGGGCAATGAGCAAAATGTCTGCACGTATCATTTATTAAACATTGAATAGGAGATTTATTATCTCATTATTATTTCATTTTCTAGTATTTAAGCCTCTTGTTTTCGAAGTATACCCTCTGGCCCTGTCCGAACAAATGCAAGCACTGTTTTTTTTAGCATGTAATTTGAGACCAGTTTTCTAGAAGGTCAAATTGTACGTTTTAGTTTAAAGCCTTTCAAAGATTTGTATGACCACTTTGATCATTCTTCAAAAGCTTTGACCAAACGCACTCCAACGGTACAAGTGTTTTATGTATTTTAAGTGGTAGTGTTTGAGACCCTTTTAAAGAGCGAAAAGGCCCATTGTTGCATTTAGTGTGTTGCGTTACATACCCTTATTACTTTCCTAAGTGAAGGAAAATTGACTAATCGCGAGAGTTGTGTGGTAAATCTTCTATCTTGATCATTGAATGAAGGACAGTTTAATGAGAGAAATGAAAAGAGTCACTTGATTTATAAAAACCTCTACCTTGCGTGAGGCGACACGCCTTAAAGCTTGAAAGCAATTTTAAAAGGCCGTCAACCCTTTAAAGGTATTGATAGACCTGTACGTCTCCTACCATTTGCTAGCGCTTTTAAATCTTCTACCCTCAAAGTTTGGCTCTTATTAGGATATCTCTTGATGCCTTTCCTTGGTGATGTGATAATATGGGTCAGTTCTGAGGTGTCATTTCCCCATCTGTATATTCTTGAGGTTTGGCAAAGCCGGATGAGATTGTGTTACAATAGGCAATATTTTCTTATGTGCTATTCTATTTGTTTAAAGTATACGTCTCTCCTGCAGAGATAACTCCAGAGAAAAGTTTCTCAAAACCCTCATCTAGGTTTCCTCTATTCTCGAAGGGTATTTTGAAACTCTGTACGTTTTCACTAAACGTGGAGCGAAACAAATTCGTTCTTAGGAGGCGTGGGGCTACTCCTTTTACTAATCCCGTATTTACGCTTGGTGGAAAAAGTTCGTGTATTACAAGGTCTCTTTCTCTTTAATATGCGTTTGCATGTCAAGGGTAAATTCCCTGTTAAATAACTCGTGTCTAGGAATATAATTTTTCACTTTGAAATGATTCATTCCGCCATCGGTTGTATGTATAACAGTTGCCATTTGTATGTCGAGTTTGGAATCTTTCTTAATAACGTCAGTTGCCTCCTAAGAACGAATTCGTCACGGAGGAATGACAGGAGTCGCGCATGCCCGTCGAACTTTTTCACTTTCGAAGGAACGGCAACAGACACTGAATCGCCACTACAATCCACGTATATTCACGCTATCTCGCTGCCACCAAAGAAGTTCACCTCAAGGCGTCGAGATGCAAATGACTCAATTTTTTGTTTTGCGACCATGATGCAACGCAATTAGAGTGCGTACACCGCCTGGAGCAAAACAGTGCCGAGCTAAACTGATTCAAAGGCTGCATTTCTCTCGGTGTTTGGAATGGCCTTTAGCCTTAAGGTTTAGGTTAGAATTATACAGAAAAGAAGGGTCAAGAACTGGAAAAATACACGGAAAAGTCATTCAAGTCATAACTTGGAATGCGGCTACCGATGGATCCTTGATCTTTTCTTTCCACTTTGTCCTATTTTTCTACAGCGGAATGATCGTTTAGCTCCCTTTGCCTTTTTCTTCTTTTTTTGTCCTTGTTTGATGCTACGTTTAATCGTTGCATTAACCGGTGTTGGTAAAGCATACCTCTTTCGATCGCGCCGAATTAAGTGCAGTAGTAATGTAAACACTATAAACCAATGTAAGGATTGAAGTTCCAAGAGGAAATGTGGTGTGCTTCCGTAGACATTGGCAAACACCAGATTTAAAATGCCCATCAAAGATGATATCGAAGACGAAAAAATTAATATCGCCTATCGTTAATGCAGAGGAAAGATACGAGTGGCAGCTAGTAAACTGATAACCTATCTACAGTACATTACAAGAACTGACATTACCTTTCGTGAAAATTATTAAGTTTCTGTGGCTTTCAGGATAACTGTGTAGTAACCGCTATTTGATGTCTGATTTGTTTTGTGTTGTTGCTCTTTTTTTTTTTTACGTTTTTTGCAAGTGACCCGTCGTTTTAGGTGTTTTCTGTTAAAGGTTAGCACCAGCAGCGAAGAATACGAAATTTTAATTTCCATTAATGCCGTGAAAACTTCAATTTGAAATGCTATCTCGACACATTCTTGGAACTGAAAATACAGCCAACTCTTCATTACCAGTAACGGGCATACACAAGAACAGAAAGGTCTCAGCATAGGGTTGAGTTTGAAGAGTTGTTTTAAAACCACCTCCAGATTTCAGCTCACGGCGTCATCACTAACCTCATAGGAAAGGGCACCCTAGACTGAAAAAGTTACAGTTTCCTTGGGCAGTGCGTTAAGTGATTTTATTTCATACACACTGAGATTTATACTGAGAAGTACTATTGTTCGTGTCTTTGATTGGACGAACAATTCATTTCCCCAGTCGTTCGCTTCGAATCTTTGAAACGTTTCGTTCAGTAAGAAAAAATCTTACCATGAGAAGTGTGCACTAACGATTTTTATTCACGGGCTGTGATGCGGCATAAAAAATACGCACGCGTTTGCGCGCACTTTACATGTTTTAATTTCTATTTTTATCACATGAAGGTACACCCTGGTATTTTCCTTTAAATGGTCACCAACAAGTGATTCATCCACAAAGATAAATGTTTCACATCGTATCGCATTACACATAATACAATTTCTAGAAAGCCCTGAAGAACTATGTAAGTTTCGTGGAAATTGTGCAGAATCTTGTAGCCAATATGTTGATAAACGGCTTTTTGAACTAACTGAATATTCACACTCGACAGTTTTAACCGCAAACAAAGCTATCTTAATCGTGGGTTATACATACCTTTTGTAGGGCTTCATAGCCAACATTGTAAAAATCTGTCCCAAAATCCTCCTTGAATGCTCCTGATGAGGCTTCGTCCTTATTGACGTCGTTGATGACGCATTTTTTTATATCACTGCTGTCTTGATTTCTTATAAAATTAAATGACCTGCATCTTGGGTCTCTCAGGCAAGCATCGGCACAAGTGTAAGGCGACAGAGCATCCTCAAAATAGTTTATCTGGTACGATTTAAGTATTCTATTCTCGCGCCGATAATCATTCAGTGAGAGTCTTTGGGAACACTCTTGTGCGCACGATACGAGAAAGAGGAACAGCAACGAGGCACTGATCTCCAAGTATTTCATCTGGGTCTTATTTGCCATTGAAACTCCGCTTTAAACAGCTTTGATTTACTTCTCATGCACGATTTATTTGAGCTGGTACATTTCAAAGTCTTCTCCAAGAGCTTTCAACATAGAATGATTCCCAGAGCCATTGCGTGAGTCATCGGTGAGACGTCCTTCACATTAATTACTTTAGATATATAATATTCTCGGTTTTATTTTCAGTTTGAACAAGAAGGAGACGTTTTACGACGAAACCAAGTCTACACAGTTATTTACACCCTCTTAATTAAAACTTGTGTCAACAAAGGACAGGTTATTAAACCTTTGATAGGACTAGCGAACAAAAGAAAATGAGTACCTCCAGGTTTTTGAGTAAATGTGAAAAACCATAATTCTCAAATAAAAGCGAAATTAAAACTTTCATAATTCAAATAAATAGTTTAACATTTGCCACACTTTTGTAAAAAAAAAAAGGTGAGAGGTTTCAGATCTACAATAGATAAAAATTAATTAAGTTGGCTGAAAGGAGTTCGTAACTGGACTTGACATTCGTTGTTTCGAATCTGTGTTCTTTTTCGTTTCACCTCTACACCTGCCTTTTGTTGTCGATCTCTGTCGTCACTTTGTGTCAATTTCATTGTTTTGGGGACACACGGGCTCTTATGAAAAACACAAAGTTCTAAAGGAGACAGAAGAGTCAAACAAAACTATGTCATGAAAGGTATTGAATACTGATTGAAATATTTGATAAAGACTGTCCACTTTGATAAATCATGCAATTTTTTCCACCTTATCGTATCGTGACAATGAAACTTCACTTTTAACAAATGTCGTTTGTTGTAACTTGTCGAGGGAATGTTATACCACTTGCCATGATTCGGAGAGAATATTTCCCTGGGGTGTTTTGTTTCTTAAAGCTATCAGTTCATCTAAGAAATTGATCGTTTGGACAAATGGGATTAGACTAAGTAGAAATTAATTAACTTATATAAAAAGCTTTAACGCAACTTACGAAGTAGATTCCACTACCGGGCTTGAAAGTTACCATTTCTTTCCTGATCCTATTCTTTTCAGTCTTAGAACGCTTCAGACATGGCTTATGTTAAGAGCATGGGGGATGCATGGCTCATATGGGACTAGTTATTCATCAAATTCATCATATAGCTCTCTAGCTACAGCTCGGTGGAGGAGCATCGAAACATGGAGTCGGAAGGTCTAAGACTCAATTCCTCATGGGCAGAATCAGATTTAGGTCTTTTTTCCATTGACAAGATGGATGAAATCTTAAAAAGGAAAAGAAACTGTTACTGAACATGCATGCCACGCCAGCGCGTGAATAGGTTTTTATTTTTGAAGGGCTCTTCACTGTCTTCTTAATATTTGAGGATTTGACAGCTTACTTTAAAAAGTAACATAACGATGATTTGGTGTGTTATATATTCCTGAAAAGCCTACGTCTCTTGTTAAACTTTGTAATGATGAGAAAACAATGTCCAAAAATCTATAGAATTCTCAATGTTAGGTATGTCTGGGTAATGCTACACATCGCGGTTAAAAGACTCTACGTATGAATTCCTCCGTTTGAGATATCTAAATTTTTCTCGACGTACTTACTGCGGAGATTACTCTGAAAGAAATTCGAATCTGTGGAAGAAGAGGCTACAATTTTTTGAACTTATAGTGCTTAAGAGGTCTAAAAGCGAAAGACGCTTTGCAATGAACGAGGAAGCAAAGGTCATTTTACATTTACCATAAAAAAATACATGGAAAAGAGATTTTGAAATCCCTTCAGCTAACCCGACACAGGGTCGTATGCCACAGTTGTAGTTTTTTTTTTTTAAAATCGGTCGACTGTACGTTTTGTTTTTACAATAACTGCTTCTAAACGTAAATTGTTATTCGTCTTACCAAGGGATTGTGCAAAGGCAATTTAAAGTCTGTTTGTTATCCCATAATATCAAAGGCTATCTTGTAAAAGTTGTCACCTGACCAACATTATTATTTACCCAGTCCCCATATTGCTTGACAAGGGAGGGGTATATGCGTTGAGACGCTCAGTATAATCAAATGAATATTTCCATTTTCGTTTACGATCGTATTATTCTCGGGCAAATCTGCCAGCATTCAAACGACTTTCGGTCGATATATGGTCGGGTACAACTACTTACGTCATCGACCTTAGATGATCGCCTGATTTTTCAGGCAGGCAGTAACAAAGGTGTCTTACGTCAGTGTCATGCGGATGAAATATCATTCCTGTTTATTGACACGTGATTCGAGAAGAAGTTTTCGAATGGGTTACATCGATGAATGAACTCTGTGTCGCGGCACTTCAAATTACTGTCCGATATCGTAAAACAACGAAATCTGGTTGTTTAGGATATTGGAAGGATACGAATTGCTCAAATTGAGGACAATTTTAGAAATAAGGCTGACTATTTTTATGGACAATGCGCAAGCCTATCAGGCGTGAAAAGTCCTCTGCTGTTTGTGCTGAAACTTGGTAGAGAGCAAGAACATGTTCAAAACGGCATAGTCCTCTGTTTCTTAAACGGATCGCTCCAACACAGAACAAAGGGCAGCCTTTCCGGCGTCGGCTCGACGATATAAAGTAACGACGCGAGGTAATTAATTAGAATAAAAACGAAAACAAAATCTAAATTCGGCGACGAGTAGAGGAGAATCATTGAGCTATTATTATATGTTGGAAATAACTGACGTCTTGTATAAAATCCGTGGAAGGATTTGAGAAAGGATAGTTTGTAAAAAACTCCATGAAAATTTTTTCTTTGCTACGAGACTGGCCATGATAATGTGCAATGTGAAATTCTACGTAAGATGTATACAACTGATATTTTCACGACATTAGTAGAAATCTTCAAAACTGATATTTACGATGTAGAGGGAATTAGCATAAAAGTGCGAAAGCAGTTTCATTAATACTTAACTAAACACACAGATTACGATAAAGAATAATGGTATCTACTAGACAAACATTATTCTCAACGAAAGCCCTGCTATAACGAATGGATTTTTTATGTCCCACCGTCTCCCCATTTGCCCAGAGAGCTCTGTTCTGAAATTTAATCGTATCTAGGACTAGATATCAGCTTTATCGCACAGATTTTCTGAACGTTAATTTATATGATTGTTGCTCTCGACGAAGTATTGTTTTAAAAGTTTTGTGGCGATCTGAACACTAACATCTGCCACGCTTCCGCTTGCTTTACACTGATCTAGACATGTACTCAAGCTGAGTTTCTTAACAGTTCGTCATTCGCTGCCGTTGAGAACGAAGTAATTGGAGAACTAAGAATTAAAGTGGAACATGATGCTTCGTTAGGTACACTGGAACCTCGATTTAACGATTCTCTATATAAGGAAGTCCTCGGTATAACGAACGATACTTCAGTTTCAGCCCTGCTAAAGTTACAGTAAA